AGCCTGTCAAAAGTGCAAGGTGATAAGACACACCAAAAGCCCACTTGGCACCTTTCTTCTCCCTGACGCTCGCTTTGAACACGTCCATATAGATTTGGTTGGACCCCTTCCTGAATCCCGTGGATATACCTATGTTTTAACCTGCATCTATCGTTTCACACGATGGCCGGAAGCAGTACCCATCAAAGACGTATCTACTGAAACAGCCACACGCCTCTTTATAGAAAGATGGATCGCTAACTTTGAATGCCCATCTTCCATAACAACTGATCGCGGGCGGCAATTCGAAAAAGGCTTATTCTTCGCCCTGACTGAAACCATAGGTTGCATGCGATTTCGAACAACAGCCTACCATCGTCAAACTAATGGTATGGTAGAACGTCTACACAGACAGCTGAAAGCTGGTCTGCCAGCCGCAAACACCACTCATTGGACTGAATCCCTTCTGTTAGTTCTCCTAGGGATACGAAACGCCTTGAAAACTGATGCTGGTTGTACTAGCGCTGAGCTAGTATACGGCACGACACTACGACTGCCTGGTGAATTTGTTTCTCCCTCGAGCTTCCCACCAGTGGTAGATCACGCTTCATACGTCAGCAGGCTTACAAACGCAATGCGTTCAGTTAAACCTGCTCCCCTTCGTCCACAGTCCATTGATGTTTCTGTTCATCCGTGTTTAAAAACTTCTTAACATGTATTTGTTCGTCGCGACTCTGTGCGCAGACCTCTGGAACCTCTGTACGACGGACGTTATAAGGTAATTAAACGTTCGAATAAATTCTTTGTCTTAGACAAAAAAGGCCGCGAGGACGCCGTCAGAATTGACCGTCTGAAACCAGCTCACTTGGAAGGTAATCCTATTAGCATAGAGCTGAGAGTACCCCATAATTCGCAAGTAACCGAAGGTCCTTTAGTCCTCGAAGAAGTCACTAGCACGGCGACAGCTACCGAATCTTCCGTCGAGCCCTCGAAGAAAACACGTTCTGGACGTACCGTAAGATTCCCAGAATATCTCCACACCTACATAACATAACTAGGTAGTGCTATTCACCCAATTCATTCGTTTGTGGTATTAATAATTTTTGTTTCTTTTCAGACATCAATTTTTTTGATATAGAATCACCAAACACAAGTAAAACATTTTTCTATAACCGCACAGTTCAAATGCACTAAAAATTTAGATATAAACTTATTTTCGACGTTCTAAACTTAGCATTATTTACTGTGAGATAGATGCACATCATTTTTTAAAGAAAACGTCGATATCGTACAGTTTCCTCAACATGGCTTCTCAATCACGTCTCATAAACCGTTAATGACCAGATCTCGCTACGCTCGGGCCCACGCTGTTCTTTGAAGATTTCAGAAACGCTTAGTTATAACGGACGAAAAAACCAAAACACCGATCTGCCGCTTGAGATTTCTTTATTGTTACACCAACATATAAAAAGAATAAGCGAACTAAGGTTTCTGACGATGTTTCACTCTTCTTTCTCAACAGCGACCGATGAGACGATGACTGTCGTATTGATGCCTCCGCGAAAATTGGCGAAGTTGATTTTAAGCAAACAACCAAGAATTGATCGTTCAATCTTCAACTCCATTGACACTCCCCGGGAAAAAAGGGATCCAACCCTTTTTTCCTTCACGACCAATGCACGTTGACTTGGATGCCATTGCGAGCACCTGGGTCACACGGACAGAGCTGAAATGGAAAACAAACAGAAAAGCCAACACACCACAAACATACCCGCAGCACAATCTCACACATCGCTGACGACCTGCGCCTCCAGACAGAGACCTCCTCTTGACATCTTGCAACACAATCGACACTTGCTAGAATGACTCTTGCAGAATGCAACGTGACCATAGCACCACCTCACGATACTCTTCACATATCCTCTTATCTACTCATTGCCAATTACCACTGCAATCGCTTGTCACTCATTCTGCCTCAGTTCTAGTAGCGGTGACGCATGCGAGCCTCAGTCGTTTACACTCTTTCTCCCCGGCGTGTCGGACCGCAGCTAACAATTATCTCCGTATGCATTTCATTCTCAGCAACAGCCTAGCCTCCCCGGCGTATACGACCCATCTGCTGTCCTTAACATCAACCAATTCATTCATGGATGTAGAAGACTCGAAACAACTTCAGAAGTAATCACGACGAAAATTTTAACAAAATTACGCAATAACAACAAGACACGAAAACAACAAGTAAACACAATGAATCCAAAATACACCAATTGATATGACACATCACACGTATATACAAATAGTACAAACAACCTCGCCGATCATGTCTTGGTGGAATTCCTTTGAAGAATTGCAGGACTTACACCAGTACGCCTACATTCCTTCTCAGGTTGATGATCCAAGTGGAAGTCGTCCGGACACAAACAGAATTACCAACAGCTAGATGACAGATGATATCAATTCAGTATATACAATATGAACATATGTACAAAATCACACACCGAGCACATTGGACTGCTCATTGATGCGCTACCCTTTGAAGAATTGTAGGACTTACAGCAGTACGCCTACAACCCTTCTCAGGTTGACGCCTAGGTTGGAAAATCGTCGCAGAGTTCATTTGCTGACTTCCTTCTATCATCTATATCCTCAAATCTGAACGGCAACACGCCCATGTCATTGTATCGTAGAATATAGATGACCAACAAACACACGACATATCTCATCAACCAAGTATAGAAACAGAGTAATTTACACCAAAGATAATAACATTCAAATAGTAACTTGAAACTAGAAATGCCTTTATTCGTGCAAGTCAATTTAACAATAACTCTCTCCTTTACACTTGGCTTATCCACACTAAACTGACCATTGATATTCGTCCTTTCAAACGAACTGATACTACCATAGTCATTGCACAAGATACTTGAGTTGATGGGTGTCTGTTTCATTGTGGATGACAGCACCAACGATGACTGAGTGACACAAGGTGATGAACTTAATGGTGGATCAGAAGCTGTTCTTGTTCGGCTCTCAGATAGTTGTCCAACTGCAAGATTACCACCACTGCTGTCTTTCACTACTAGTTCGGGTTTAGCACTATCATCTGATGATAGGTGGGCTACATGCTGATCAATTACACTGACGGTCTCACAAGTATGCATACCTTCTGCAACTGCATCTGCATTTATTTCTACTTCACGTTCAAGTTGTACAGAACCTTTATTTAACTTAGCAGTAGTAGGCATATCCCTCCATTTCATCATGATCAACCAAAGACAAATCTGCACTATCATGATCATTACCACAAATATTCACTTTACCGTCAAATTCATCATTTTCAAACTCTTTAATAACAGAAGTAGACAATTTTGGTTCCTCCTCACAAATCATTAAAGGTTTTATATCTTCACTCTGACTAGTTATACTTTGTAAACTTTTGGAGTCAGAACTGCACTCTGAAGCAGTAACTCTATTCTGTGACACTCTATTCAACAATGGCTTACCAGTTGCAACTACAGACTTCTTCACAACACCGTTATCGTCACACAATTCGGAGTCAGGCCTGGAGTTTACATTTAGCTTATCACTGAACTTGCTCACTGGTTCACAGTTCACCTTTGTATGCACCTCTTGCAACGTGTAAACACAACCGTGTTTGTCTTGCATCTTGTAACTTATCTGTTGAGGATGTACTACGAAACCTGTTACACTCACTAGGTCTATATGCATTACTAGACATCATGGAGTCTTCTCGATATCCACCTCTCTGAGGCCTACTCGTCATCAATGATTGCATTTTGATCTCAGACTGCTCTATTCTAGGGGTGAGATGTAATAGACTGGCGAACTTGCTCATAGATTGATTGACACTAGTATTTACCAGTTTCAGGATATCATCAAACTTTGGCTCGATACCCTCATCCTCCATACGGGAGCTTATCTTCACCCACTTCCTTTGCAGTCGAGTAGGTAGACGTCTTGCTATTACTTCTAGTATAAAACTCGAGTTGAGGTCACTCATTCGATTCATCGAAATCATTCCATTCTTGTAAATTAGCAAATTATCTAAAAACTCAGTGAGTGCCTGGGAGTCATCCTGTAATTGACCACCATTACCCTTAACAGCCTCGAATAATTTCCCTGCAATCATCGAAGGTCTTCCAAACCTTTGACGTAATATGCTCATAGCCTCGTAGTAGCCCTCTTTTGGCTTCATAAACTTACAGCACTGTATAGCTCTTGCAGCATCTCCAGTGCAATATCTCATCAAATACATTAACTTCAATTCATCATTTAATAAAAAACCACTCAACATGATCTCAAACTCCTTTACAAATTGTAAATAATCAGCCGGGTTTCCATCAAAACACCGTGGTTCAAATTTAGGGAGTTTGATGTTCCTATTATCCCTGAACGGCGAAACAGTAACATCAACCATGTCATGCTTAACATCAGACACATCGTTACAATTAACAGACAAGTCACCATGACTTACTTTCCTGTTTGCATCCAAGACACTCTGTCCCTTCTTTGACCCAGGCATTGTTGAACTTGACCCAATTCCAAAAAAGTTCCAGATATTGCTTGTTCAAAGAGGACTTGACCGGCACCAGGAAAAATGAACGGCGACTATCCAAACTTTCACCAACTGTTTGAATCCGCCAGATCTGTTTCCATCGTCAGAAACTGTCAATCACGTCTCATAAACCGTTAATGCCCAGCTCTCGCTACGCTCGGGCCCACGCTGTTCTTGAAGATTTCAGAAACGCTTAGTTATAACGGACGAAAAAACCAAAACACCGATCTGCCGCTTGAGATTTCTTTATTGTTACACCAACATATAAAATAATAAGTGAACTAAGGTCTGAAAACAAATATTACAATAATAAATCATTGTATTACTTCTGACGATGTTTCACTCTTCTTTCTGAACAGCGACCGATGAGACGATGACTGTCGTATTGATGCCTCCGCGAAAATTGGGGAAGTTGATTTTGAGCAAACAACCAAGAAATGATCGTTCAATTTTCAACTTCATTGACAGGGGTACTGGTATCTAAATCAGTTCCTAGTTCCATTGACAAGCGTGTTTGTTGTGTAGTTTGCTGAATGCTATTTTCAGCACTAGGTGTCTGTTGCTGTGCACGATCCTTTTTTGGTAAATCTAAGATTGTGGAGGTGACCAGGTTATTACTACGCATTATTCTGCGCTGACATGGTGTTTTATCTTGGGCTACGGTTATAGACTTATAACTGCTATTAAGTCGTAAGTGATCCTTACATTTAGTAAAATTACTAGCATCAAGGGATTTACTGAATTTTAAAATGATGGGACAATTAGCGTGGTGAGACTTTTTACGAAGTCTTTTGCATTCACATGGAACACTAGTCATGCCGCAACAGGTCTCTACTCATGAGTCGTCACTCTCCATGGGAGCAGCTCTGACTGCATCAGAGGAACAATGGATAGACTCCGCTAACGTCGACCAAACATCGTGTTCAATCGCCCAAACAAACTAAATGAAGCGGAAACAATGGTTCTGGATGATCTTCATCCAAGGCTTCTCAAGGAGCCCACTGACCACGACCTTCAATCAATGTCACCGCATGACTAGAACGATGCCGAAGTGACCCGCATCCACAAAGGAAGACCAAGACGAAACTGTCCAAACTAAAGGCTTACTAGTGTCACCAGCACTTTAATCAAGACACTGGAAGAATAATGAAGAAAAGTATCAGAGCACATCTGGAAAAACTTGTTATCCAAAGCACAGCATGGCTTCGAAGGAAATCTTTCACACCTGTCGAATCTGCTCACTGCAAGACAAAGCTGGGCGAAGTTAAGAGACAATAGAAGACTCGTTAACATCGTCTTCATAGACTTCAGTAAAGTAAAGTTCCCCACAGAAGACTACTCATAAAGTTGGAATGTCCTGGTATCAAAGGCAGCTTACTTAACCTGAATAAGGAATTCCTCACAGATAGTAGTCAGGGGGTCAGGGTCAACTCGAAACCCTCCTCCTGGACAACAGTGTGTAGCAGAGTGCCACAAGGCACTGTACTCGGACCTCTCCTATTTATTTTGTACATCAATGAGTTATCTCTGCTCACCGATTCAACCATGGTCCTATACGCAGACGATTTAAAAATTTGGAGAGCTCCGAAGAACGAGGGTGATATGCTGACGCTGCAATAAGACCTCAACAGACTGTTAGAGTTGTCCTAGAATGGATTCTTCCCATCAATGTAGAGAAATACGCAACCATGCGCACTTAACACGCTGGCATGAGCCCCCACGAATTGGAGGGAATAAAACTCCCATCACTTCAAACTCATTTGAATTTAGGTGTCATAGTAAGTCGCGACTTTAAAACTACAGCACACTGTTGTGTGGTGGTTGCGCGTAGTTTTAGATCCTCATAGGCAATTCACAGATGCTTTACTAGAATCACCAAAGAAATGTTCACCTCCCTATATGCATCTCTGTGAGATCAAAACTGGAGAACTGTATCCAGATAGCCAATCCTTGCCTCGCAGGGCACTCACATATTCTAGAAAGCATCCAAAGAAAAGAAACACGTGTGGTTCCTGGCATGTGTAATCTATCACATAAGGAGATACAAGACAAATCTCTTCTCCTTATCATACCGTAGGCACAGAGGAAATTTAATTACAATGTTTAAAGTTTTAAATAATGACTGCTGGCCTGATCTATTATCTCTTTTCCTTCACAACAGATCAAAGGACCTTAAAGGAAATAGCAGGAGGGTTCAAAAGGCACGGAGAAACCATATCGCTCTGGAGTACTGGTCCTCACAATGGGTCGTAAACTGCTTCAGCCAGCTCCCAGAAGAAGTGGTGTCTGCGACCTCAACTGATTCACTCAATAATGGTTTGGACAAGCACATAAATTTGCTGGAAAAGGATTAAGACAGGCTCAAAGCCTTCCATCTTTAACCAATAAATCTGAAACCTGAATACACGCTTCGAAGCGTGTATGGATATTGATGTAGCTGCCAGTGAAGTTAATTGCATCAGACCAAAATATCCAGATTATGATATATTCGATGACTTTTTAACCCCCAATACCAAGGTATTAACCTAATTCAATGCCACTCAGTTTCAGTACCTCGAATGCTCCCAAATTCCAGTCTTCATCTCCTGTTGGCAAAAAAACAACAACTGCATCTAACCAGTAGGAATGAATGTTACATTTAATAAACTTCCTTCAGATCGCCTTTTAACGATGCTTTCGATTATTCAATGCATTTTACGAAATTAACCGGTCAGTACTTTAAAATTATTTATTTAAAGATGCTGAAATGGAACTTGGCAATTTTTGTACGAATATCCTGAACATTGTTACAGTTAACAACAGATCTCCACTGGAAAACAACCTTACAGCAAACGATGACTACACACTGGAGTTTTTGATCGAGAATGAAGACCACTTATGGATGCTGGAAGCATCTTTAAGAGACGAAAAGTATAAGGGGTTATTTTTGAGTTAACAAATTTAATTATAATTTCTAGTTGATTGCTAAAATGATGCCTGCCTTCACAGGGATCCGAAGTTAAAACTTGAAGTCATGATGCACAATGTTCTAAGACCTGAACTGGGTTTGGAGTTTACATTCCAAGGTAATTCGACTAAGTTTAGCGTTGTGCCTTATGTCTTTTCAAAAACAATGAGACGTGTCAAATGTCCAGGTCTAACTACACTGGACTTCAAGCTGTCCTTAGAAGACTTCCAGGAACTGTGCTCAATAACCGACGCGAAAAACCAGAATACAAATTGGTGACCCGAGAACCCTTTACTCTTGCACCAACATAGAACCAACCATAAGGTTATTATACAAAAAGTCTAAGAAAAAATGTCATACCAATAAATCACCATAATACTTCTGATAGTTTTTCTTCGTCTTCCAACGAACAGCGGCCGATGGAACGATGGCTGCAGTATCGTTGACTCCCGCCAAAATATAGGGAAGTTGGGTCTGAGCAAACAGCGATGAATTGATCGTTCAATCTTCAACTACATTGACACTTCAGGGCAAAAAACGGATCCATCCATTTTCTCCATCACGACCAACACACGTTGACTTGGATGACACTGCGAGAGCCTGAGTCACACGGACAAAGCTGAAATGGAAAAAACAGAAAAGCCAACACACCACAGGCATACCCACAGCGCAATCACACTCGTCGGCGACGACCTACGCCTTCCAGTTAAAGGAATTCTCTTGACATCTTGTAACACAATCGCCACTTGATGGAATGACTCTTGCAGAACGCAACGTGACCATAGCACCACCTCATGATACTCTTCACATATCCTCTTATCTACCCACTACCAATTACCCCCTTTAGTCGCTTGTCACTCATTCTGCCTCAGCTCTAGTAACGGTGAGGTATGCAAGCCTCAGTCGTCTACATTCTCGCTCCCCGGCGTGTGGGACCACAGCCTAAATAGAAACATCCATTTCAATTATTGATTCCACAGCTAATCAATATCTCCGAGTGAATTACATTCTCAGCAATAGTCTCCCCGGCGTAAACGCCCCATCTGCTGTCTTTAACATTAATGAATTCATTCACGGATGTAGAAGACTCGAAACAACTTCAGAAGTAAGCACGATGAAAATTTTAACAAAATTATGCAATTACAACAAGATATAAAGAGAACAAGTAAACACAATTAATCCAAACACAAATTGATAAGACACACCACACGTATATACAAACAGTACAAATAACCTCGCTGATCATGTCTCGATGTAATTCCTTTGAAGAATCGCAGGACTTACATCAGTACGCCTGCATTCCTTCTCAGGATGATGATCCAAGTGAAGGTCGTCCGGACACAAACAAAATTATCAACAGACAGATGAAAGATGGTACCAATTCAGTATATACAACATGAACATATGTACAAAATCACACACCAAGCACATTGGGCTGCTCATTGATGCGATACCCTTTGAAGAACTGTAGGAGTCAGAGCAGTACGCCTACAACTCTTCTCAGTTTGACGCCCTAAGTTGGGGAATCGTCACAGAGTTCATTTGCTGACGTCCTTCTATCATCTATATCCTCAACTCTGTACGGTGGCACGTCCATGTCATTGTATCATAGAATATAGATGACTAACAAACACACGACGTATCTGGTCAACCAAGCGTAGAAACAGAGTAATTTACACCAAAGATAATAGCATTCAAATAGTAACTTGAAACTAGAAATACCTTAATTCGTGCAAGCCGTTTTAACAATTACACTCTCATACACAGTTGGCTTATCCTCATTAAACTGGCCAAAATCCTTTGTCCTTTCAAATGCAGCGATACTAGCATAGTCATAGCATAAGACACGTGAGTTCAGGGACGTCCGTTTCATTGTGGATGACAACACTAATGACGACTGAGCGAAACAAGTTGAACTTATCAGAGCATCAGAAGCTGTTGTTTTTCGGCGTTTAAAAGTTTTCCTAACTGCAAGGTTACAACCACCGCTGTCTTTTACTATTAGCTCCAGTTTAGCATTAACAACTGTCGGTAGGTGGGTTAGACGCTGACCATTTACACTGACGGTCTCACGAGTATCCATACCATCTGCAACCGCATTTGCTCTTAATTCTACTTCACGTTCATGGTGTACTGAACCTTTGTTCAACTGAAAATATTAGGCATTCCGCTGATCTCATCATAATCAGTCAAAGACAAATGTGCACTATCATGACCAATGTCGAAAGTATCCGGTTTGCCGCCATCTGTACGATCGCCTTCATCATTTTCAAACTCTTCAATTACAGCAGTAGATGTGCGTCGGTGGCACAGTGGTTAGGACTCTCGCCGACCATGCACATGGTCCGAGGTTCGAGCCCACGCCAGCACACACCAGGTATCCATGGTCGGCATGCAAATTTTGGGCTACTGATATCCATGCTGAAAATTCCATACTTGTACCAAAAATACGGTGTGGAATCAAGCTGTAAATCAAGAAAAAGTTTCGGTTCTTCCTCATAAATCCTTAAAGGTTCTATACCTTTACTCTGACTATTAATACCTTGAAAACTTGTGGAGTCAGAACTGGACTCTGAAAGTGCAACTCTCTTCTCCTGCACAAACTGCGGTGTCTCCTCTGACACTCCATTCAGCAATGGCTTACCAGTTGCAACTACAGGCTTCCTGACTGCACCATTATCGTCACACAATTCGTAGTCAGACCTTGATGGCGGTGCTTTCACATTTAACTTACTACTAAACTTGCTCACTGCTTCACAGTTCGCCTTTGTGTGCACTTCTTGCAAAAGGACGAAACATGACCGTGTTTGTCATGCACGTTGCAAGCTATCTGTTGAGGACGCCTCACGAAAGCTGTCACACTCATTAGGTTTGTATGGATTACTAGACACCATAAAGCTTCCTCGATATCCGCTTTACCGAGACGCTTTCTTCATAAATGATTGCGTTTTGTTCTCTGATTTCTCTATTCCAGGGGTGGGATGCAGTATACTAGCAAACATGCTCAAAGCTTGGTTGACACTGTCTTTCACCAGCCTCACAATGTCATCCAACTCAAGCTCTAAAGCCTCCTCTTCTAGACGGTAGCTGATCTTTATGGACTTTCTTTGCAGACGAACCGGTAATCTCTTGACAACAGTCTCAAGCACGGAACTTGAATTCAATTCGTCTACGCAATTAAGAGGCACAAGAGTATTTCTATATACCATTAAACTGTCCAAGAACTCTGCGAGTTCCTCTGAGTTATCGTTTAACTGTGATCCATTACCTTTCGCGGTCTCGAAAACGTTACGGGATCTCATAAATGGTTTTCCAAACCTTTGACGCAGTACCCTGATAGCCTCTGTATGTCCTTCGTTCGGGGAGATAAGCTTGCAGCACTGTATGGCTTTCGCAGGAATACCAGTGCAAAACCTCAACAAATACATTATTTTCATTTAGTCACTTAAAGCAAAACCACTCAGCATGACCTCAAACTCGTTGATAAGCTGTGGGTAGTCGACCGGGTTTCCATCAAAGTACCGGGGTTCAAACTTGAGGAGCCTTAAGCCCTCACCATCACTAAACGGCGAATAATAAACATCAGACTTATCATGCTGAGCATTTGTAATAGATTACAGCTTGATTCCACTCCATATTTTTGGTACAAGTATGGGGTTTTCAGCATGAATATCGGAAGCCCAAATTTCGCAGGCCGACCATAGATATCAGGCGTGCGTCGGCAGGGGGTCGAACGTCGGACCGTGTGCATGGTCGGTGAGAGTACTAACCACTGTGCCACCGACGCATAATACATATCATAACAATTAATAGAAGCTCATCGTTACTTACTTTTCTGTCTGCTTCAAAAACGCTTCGTCCTTTCTTTGGCCCAGGTATTATCGAACGTCACCAAACGATCCAAATCTCGTTGATAATCCGTTTCCAAAGAGAAGCTGGCTGCAGATCCAGTAAGTACACCCGGATGAGTTCCAGAAGGCGCTTCAGAAAACGAACAGATGAGTAAAACTGCCCCAGAAGGCACTCCAGGAAAGGAATAATAACTGCCAATGAACTTATCCCTAATTTCCTACCGTTACGAAGATGCTGCGCACCGATAAATGCTATGTACTTTCTTCGACATTAACTCCGAAACACCAGTATTGTACGTAGGAAGTTATATTATTTGGCAATTAAAGCGGAGAATAATACAAGTCTATAAATATGTTTTACACAAAATTATGAAGTACTTTTATTCGTTTTTGGTAGTCTTCGTCGAATTATTCGAGCCTTCGAGTTGCCTACCAATGGCTACCAGTTCCAATAGTCAGACGTTCAATATTCACCTCCATTGACAGTTACTGTACACAAGGTCTAAGAATAAATGTCATACCAATAAATCACCATAATACTTCTGATAGTTTTTCTCCGTCTTCCAACGAACAGCGGACGACGGAACGATGACTGCAGTATCGATGACTCCCGCCAAAATATGGAGTTGGGTTTGAGCGAACAACCATGAATTGATCGTTCAATCTTCAAATACATTGACAAGATGTGAGTTTCGTTAATGAAGCACTTATTTCTGTAACTACAATTATGGCGCACTGATGACGTCGAGAGGGTTTAGTGACATAATGGATAAGGCCACGCAATCGCGTTGAAAGGTGTAACCAGAAGAAAGGAATTCAGGTGATATTTTGAAACGCCCGCTTCGATTTATAAGTCAACGTTAAGTTAGCATGTAGTAATCACAATATTGTTTTTATTTCTAGGAAGATGGAGAGAATACCAGGGGATATAGCAGTGGCAGTTATGTAAGCAAACTTTTCGAAATGTAAATGCTGAGCACAAATTTTCATCAACTAACATTTTATTTTGCTTATTTACAGGATGCTACCAGTGGACCAAACCTGACGGGTTTGCAGTGACATTGTACTACACTTTCTAAATAAAAAGTTCCCTCAATTAAAAACTAGTTAATAAATTGCTATATTTGGTTTGTAAGGGTTAGTATGTTTTTGCGAGTTGATCACGGATTTATATCGCTTAGAGTACCATTGAAGACTAGGGAGTACTGGACAGCTGCTGTTTCATCCTAGTTTGGAAATCGTCAGCAGTACGCACGCACCGCATGTGGTTCGAACCAAGGACCTTTTGGTTACAAGGCAAGCTCGCATTCCATCCAACCACTGGGACCCAATTCAATGATTACTCCATGAATTCTAACTTCTACCAATTCGTGATTTAGCGCGACCCCAACCATTGTCGTTGGTGGGACATCCATCCATACACGTGACATCTAATTTGACCTCACTGGTCACGACGTCTCACTAGAACTCCAGGAAACTCCATCCTGTAGCAAGTCATTAGCAGGAATCAGAATAATTTTTATAGTTTGGTTTTTTAGGGTTAGTTAATAAGCTGCGCCAGCATAGGACACGGGCGATGATAATTAGTAGCAGTTTTTTCGTTCTGAAGTAACGCTAGTACGTACTGAAAATGAGTTGAATGGGCTGAAATAAAGCTGATATGCTAATCCAGTAGGTTCTGATCTACTCCTGAAAATGAAACACATGCTGAATTAGTGCCAGTCATGCTGAGTTCTAGTCTGTGCCATCGAAGAATCCATTTCAAAACAGTTTCAGAATTTACTCACCATAGAATTTCAGAATTATTTTTAAATTAGTGAGATTTAATTCAGCATTATGGGTCTAAGTGCAGTTAGTAATAATGTATTTCTTAGGGTTATAAGAAGTCTACTCTTCTAAAGTCTATTGTAGAGGGTGAGTTATCTAAGCCATGTTTTCGGGTTTTATTGTTATTTTCATCCGTCAACGCTAGGCACTAGAATAATATGTTTTACTGCATTGATGTCTCTATTTTTTAAGTTCATCGGTTTCACTGTACACGCGACATTTCGAATTCGACTTATCGCTGCGTGCTGTTGTAGTGTGGTGGCTTTCGTAATACGCAATAGTTATGCAAATCAATGGATGTATGGGAAGCAATCTGTCGGATATATTTCCATCTGTTCCTATCCAAGACTCTACCGGAGGCCTAATGACTGCTCCAGGAATGCATGTCAACGGACCAAACATAAACCATGGTGATTCTATGTCTCGGCTACAATATCTTGGCTTAAGTTTGTTGCAAAATGGTCAGAATGGAAATGGTGGCACGTTTTTGAATGAGGACCGTTCACGTACTAATCTGATTATCAATTATCTTCCTCAAAGTTTCGACCAAAATGATTTGCAACGTCTTTTCGAACGTGTAGGTCCTATTAGACAATGCAAGCTAATAAGGGATAAGGTAGCAATTTTGCTAATTTTATATGCGCTTTAGGAGTCGGGCGCTAGTTTATGCTATGGATTCGTGGATTACGTTAACCCTCAGCACGCAGCCTTAGCTATACAAACATATCACGGCTATGAGTGTGACCGAAAGCGTTTACGCGTGGCATACGCCAGCTCAGGTGGGCGGCGAATTATTCCAGGTGAGTAACTTAACATCATTTTATGTTATAGGAAATCGCCCTCAAAAATTTTCCAATGTAAACGACATTTCTGGCAATCCGAATGTTGAAGTTACTAATGAAAATATACTCGGTTGGGAAGTATTAGTTACTGGAACACCTATAGAGTGGAATGAACAGGATTTACTTGTAAGCTATCCATACCGTTCAACCAAAATTTCAGCGTTTGTTTTCCAACTTTGGAGCTGTTGTAGATGTGCGGCCGCTGACTCCTCGGCTACCTGACTCTCCGTCTGGTCAGAAACCAGGCTTCAGTCCACCTTTGAATGGGACTTCTAGCGACGCGAGCTCCGAATCTCCAGACGGCAGATATGCATCAGGTGCATATGTCATTTTCCAGGAAAAAGAGAGGTAGGTTCATATGTACCCTCAGTCACGTTTTTTAGTGCGGAAATTTCGGTCCTGCGTTTGAATGGTTATCAAGCCCCAGAATGGTGTTCACCTCTCAAACTGAGATTAATCGGTTCACTAACTCGGGAAACGTTTGCTCACTTCCATTCTTCACGTCAATCTCCAACCTATACATTTGGGCGTACGTCAAACAGTCAAAGTATTGCCGATCCTTTGACTGAATCGGTTATCTTCACAAACGTGCTGAATAGACGAGTTTTAAATACACCGAACTGTGCAGTTCATGGTAATCCTCTAAGCCACTTTGTAACAGGAGCGAAGAACTCTGAGGTTCTACCTGTCGCACCGGAGGGTAACAACCTACATCTCCAATCAAATTCAGTCTTTAATATTCCTCCTCGAGCAGTCATGCGAAATAAAGGTGAGTGTGTACCGCTACATGTTATTGACTATTCACTGTTGGGAACTATTTCTTGCCTTGTAATTTCCTTAGTTTTATTTCCCTTAACATACGGGTTTTCAACATACGCACAATATTTCCCAGCATGTAGAACCATTATAAACCACTTTGGTTCGCGCACGTTTATGCTTACGACTATATGGACATAAGAAATTGACGACAGCGAAACAGTTAGGTCCCCGACTGGGTCGTGACACTGCGTCCTTATTTAAGGAAGAGAGCGAAACGAGTTTCTGAAGTCGACAGCAGGACTCCCCCCTGAGGTAGCCTGGCACGAAATACAGTTAGCTGTAGACACAGCTGTGAAAGCTGTTAATAAGCCAAAACCAAAAGTTAGTAAAAGCCATTGGATCTCTCCCGCCTCATCCGAACTGATTGACGCAAGAAGATTGGTTCTAGCGAGCTCCGATTATGACGAGGAGCGAAAGGTACTCAACAAAAAGTCTTCGCAACGACCTTGAACAGTGGTGGGCGACAAAAGCGAAAGAGATGAGGGTGGCATCGGCGATTGGCAACAGCAGACAACTATTTAGGCTTAAACGGGAAACAGTGGCCGAAGGCATATGACGAGTGAAACAATCTCGAAGAAAGCACTATGATTGCTCCCAGGATAGACAGGGGGAACACTGGAAAGAGCACTATGAAAAGCAGCCTAAATGGCCTACGGCCACGCTTGACCTGCCAAATATCCAATCCCTTCATGATTCGGATATAGACACAGTTCTCCCTTAACTGAGGCTACTAAATCTGACACTAATCTGAAACAAGTCAAAGCAGCAGGACCTGATGGAATGACTCCAGAGATATTTAAGTACGGTGGAGATAGTTTACTGTCTTCATTAACTGAAGTACTAGGCAACGTCTGGGAATCAGAGGAAGTCCCGTCGGGTTGGTGTAAGTCACTGATTATCCTCGTATACAGAAAGGGAGACAAGTCTTCCTGTGATAATCACAGAGGGATTAGCTTGACTAATATAGTATTTAAAGTCCTAGGTTCAGTAATATTGCGTAGACTAAGTGGTGCTCGGGAGGCACAAACACGAGAGAGCCAGGCAGGTTTTAGACCAGGAAGAGGGTGTATTGATCATATCTTCACCCTCCGACAGATTCTAGAACAGGAATTCCTACTGGCGTCCAACAATCATTATATTTCTTGATCTGAAGGCGGAATTCCATTCTGTCGACCGATAGGTTCTCTGGCGATGCTTGGCTGTGAAGGGGATGCCGAGAAAATAGACTGCACTGATTAAGGCACTCTACTCGTACTCGTGCAGTCAGCCAGGTGAGGGCTTACGGCGAGTTGTCATCTGAATTGGTGACAACTAGTGGTGTGCGTCAGGGATACCCATTATCTCCATTTCTATTCAACTTCATCATAGATGTACTAATGGACTTAACCCTAAGTGACTTCAGCGACTCGGATTGACTTGCTACCAGGGAATAATCTCATTGACTGAGAGTGTGCAGACGATATGGTCCTTCTAGGCGAGGACGCTGACAGAATACAGCAGAGTCTTCTGAACACCTTGAGCTGCAATCTAAGAATGTTTGGTATGCGATTCACTTCCGCCAAATGCAAGGTGATGTTACAGGACTGGACCACACTGACTCCTAGTTTAGAAATAGGAAGTGAAGTGGTAGAGCGTGTTGACCGCTTCACTTATTTGGGAAGTACCATCAGCCAGTGCCAACGGGTTGATCTCTGATGAAATCTCAGCTGAGTACGGATAGAGAGGGCTAGTTTCGCACATGCCATTTTACGCCGTCTCTGGCGTAGACGTGATATTCGGTTGGCTGTCGACCAAAGGGCGGGTGTACTGCTCATCAGTCCGCACCATCCTCCTTTATAGCCAGCTGTGAGACCTGGCCACTGAGAGTGGAAGACATGAAAAGATTAGCTGTCTTTGATCATAGGTGCCTGCGTTCTATTTCCCGTGGGAATTGGCATAATAAGGTGAGCAATATTGAGGTTAGGCGTGAGTCGAGTGCTACGTAAGGAGGGGAAATCAATCGACGAGGCTGTGAGATTACATCGACTGAGATGGTTAGGACATGTGCTACGTATGCCTAGTCATCGCCTTCCTCGACTGACGGGCAATGCCAGCTGACATAGGGGCAGTCTGGAAAAGAGCTAGCGGTGGTCAAACCAAAACATGGCACCAGTTAACTGAAATGTACAACAGTTAGTTTGAGCCACGTGGGAAGGTGCAGACTTCCTGGCTGGTTGGGGTCCTCGGGACGGTAAAAACCAATGCAGGCTGGAAACAATTGGTGATATGACTCAAACTCATCATTCTCAATGGCTAGCGCAGATGCATCCACTCCTTGTGACTTGTGATTTCCAATGAGACTGTTTTGTTCTTCGTTAATACTATTCCTTTGTCTCACACCTCTGTTTACTGTCTCTAATATGCATTTCTTCTCTTGCTTTGTGTGCTACGTGGAGGGAGTGTGGCGACTTGAACTTCCTTACATATGTGCAGAGTTCTATGTCGAAAACAGACTTTACAGCCAGTAATTTCTATTCAACCCATGTTGACGCAGTTTGACTACAATTAGAGGAGATTACTAATAGCTTTCCGAAGTTAATCATGTCGATCTGTGTAGACTGTTTGTCATCCTATGTGTGGATTGTCTAGGTTAACTTCATTAGAGTTACAATTGAGTTTCTTCTAACTGAATGAACGCTGTCAAGATGTTTAATTGATACTAAATACCGAAGTTTGCAAGGTGTTAAGTTGCTTCAAGTGAGATTAGGGACTAGAGTCATTAGTATTTAAGCGCTGCATATACACCAGGGCCCAACTAGTGTTGCGTGCCAGTACTCAAATTAGGTCACATTTACTTTTTCTTTAATCAGGTTGTCGAGGCACTATCTAATGATTTTAAAATCCTTTTTAACTAGTTTTGAGTTGTAGTTATTTGAATTTTGATTTCCATAGTGACTGGTCCAACATCAACTTCAGTCTTCAACCAGGATGTTTTTTCTCATACTGGTTCGTTGGGCATCCTCGATTTTCTTGACGGTCACCAAAATGCGAACTCGTTAAGTGGGACTGACCAATGTACATCTAGAGATGTCTCCATAATCAACACATTGAACTCTGAACGTGTTACCGACAATGAACAACCGGAGCTGGAGAATTCACTAAAGAACTTGACAAGTGTTCAAAATCACTCTTCATGGCCATTCGTCCAACATCGGTCTACCTTAACTGCATTGTCTGAAAACGGGCGGTCTAACGAAATAAAGAGAGGTATTCCAACATCCGGGGGTTACAGACGTTTGTCTGTGAGGTCTCCTCTGGTGCATAGTCCAATTTTATCTAGCCTACTAGCTCAACAAAGTTTCCAGGCAAACATCTGGCTTAAGCTGGAAAATATTCAGCCGACTGGGTCATACAAGATTCGTGGTGTTGAAAATGTGATTCGCAAGGTAAGATTTCATCTCTGTATTTACTGTCTTAAAATAAGCTTATCAAGGTATATTGTTTCCATATTGGCGATTGCACTCGAAGAAACTGGTTCCGGTAAGCTGGTCTCCATTCAATGGTACACAAAATGTGCATTCTAGATATTGTACCCAGGCACCGAAGAGTGTCGGTGTTCGTTCCTTTAGTAATTCTTGGCATAACCGAATGCGTCTCAGTTTCCGGGTCATCCCATTTGCTTTAGCTTTTCAGCTGTTAAACAGCGGATTAATCTTTCAAACAAAGGGTATAAAATTTGGTCTGGAATGTTCTTTTATGTATATTTTTACTCAGTACAGCATTCGTCCTGATAAATTCAAGTCAGCACTTATCCGAGTTAAATTGGACTGATGATGGAACGTTTAAGGTTTCTCGTTAGGAGTTAGCTTAAACAATGTGTTATTCCTTGCAAATCTTTGGGGTCTTATCCAAATATACTCTTTATAGTATCCCAGATTCTTAACATGTTGCGAATTTCTTTAAATTTCCCGTGTTTGCCGATGTTAGGAAAGTTTAACTGCTGCATTTGTGTGTATTATCAAGTTAATGATCCAGTTATATATCATGAATTCTTTTTTCATTTCAGTGGGCAGCTTCGGGAGTCAACCATATTGTTTGCCCGGCTACTGGAAGCTCAGCGGTTGCCATATGTTTTGCCGCTCATGCGTACATGCTTAACTGTACTCTTGTAGTACCTGAGTCTCATGAGTTAACCGTAAGGCGGCGTTTAGCACTTGAAGCTCAAGACGCTAAGATTGTTGTAGTTAGTGGCGGTTTTGAAGCGGCTAATCACCGTGCCGATCAATTGGTCAAGGAAATTCAGTCTGCACCTGATTCCAATACTCGTCTCCTTCATCCGTATGATCAACCTGAACTCTGGGAAGGATATGAATCTATTGTTGATGAGATTTCTTCGGAGATCGGTCAACCAGATGCAATAGTTGTTGCTGTCGGTGGTGGAGGGTTGTTATCAGGCATTATTCAAGTAAGTCACTAAATTTTTCAACTTTGTTTGGATTTTTCTGCTGAATGGTAGATTCCCCGTGCACTTCAGACTAAGCTAACAAACTTTTCATTTTAACATCCAAAAACGTTAACTGATAATTGGGTAAATAAGTAACGAAGTGATATAGGGTGGTGTTGCTTCATTTCATGCTTATCTACGTTGCGTATACAAGGAATTATCAGTCATAGACGAAAAAAGAAAGCTTCAGTTTCCATAAGCGCTACTTTGGTTTTGCTGCATTGTAAACAGTATACTGATTAAAATAATTCCCCTTTGTTTAAATATTATAGTTTCCTTCGAACCAGCAACTTTTTCTGTCAGTGTTAATAAATGTTTACAAATTTCCTTTTTTACACCATAAGGCTTTGTGGAACAAGAAATGGTCTTCAACGCACATCATAACCGTCGAAAATGAAGGAAATGATTACCTAAATCGCTCATTAAAATCTGGCCAGTTGGCGGTTTCAAAGAGTTCTTCATTTGCAGCTTCCATAAGCTCTCCTCTCTTGACACAACGGGCGTTGCAGTTAGCTCAGTGTCAACCGGTCAGTGCGATTACCTGCACAGACGCGGAAGCTATCGACGGAGTCAAGCGTTTTCTGGGTGAGTACTTACTAACTTAAACCACGTGGTTTTTGAGAGAGATTTTACGCTCCATTTCCTGAAGTTGAATGCTTAACACAATTTTTAACCCACCATTTCAGATGTGCAAAACATTGGTTGTGGTCCACTAAGTTGTCTAAGGTTAACATTAGTATATAGATAGCTGCAAGTCTGCGTAAACGTCATGACCAAACTGTATTTCCACTTAGGGAATTCGACATTTTCAATGTTCTTTCAAATTGGTTACAGTTGAGGTTACCAAGAGTCAACCTGGCTTAAATAAAGCATATTCCATTTGGACAGGTTGATCATTGCAGTCTCGTATCTGTCCTTATTCGAAGTCCGAACTGAAATGTTGATGCAAATTAAGAGACAGCTGCATGTGGATAAATGTTTGAATAAACCTTTTAAATATTGTTGTCAATAGAAAAGTATAAATGAAATTTCGAAGTTACATAGGCTTGTGTTTCGGCATAGGTGTAGTTTGTCTTGACACATGATCAAACATTTTCAGTTTCATGGAGTTGAATGGGTTAAATTTTGTGTGAACTGATTTAGTAGTATTCGATTACTCCTCAATATCTGTGATGCCCCTGCAGCTTTAGAACTGCGTGAATGCAGCGAGTATAAGTAGTGTGGATTATTTTCAGTATCTACTACTATAAGCTATAACAAGCAGAATATCCCATCGGTGACTAACTGGTTATTTACTGTTACTGAATAAGCTTGTTAATGCTAGGAATTCGTGAATCGTATACATTGTGATTAATGCTGAAAATTCCACTCTGTATCACAAGTAATGTTTTTGCAATAAAGTAAATCATTATTATTACTATTATCATTATTCGAACGCTTTTTTTGCCTGCTGACTAGCGTTTTGAGACTCAATACCTTTTCTGTAATGAATCATTAGCTCCACAGTGCGTTATCACGTATAAAGAAAGAATTTGCTTTTACCTTTTAGATGATCATGGTATGCTTGTTGATCCGGCTTGCGGAGCTGCCCTTTCATCCGTGTATTCGGGCTATTTGTCCCGTTTACAATTTGAGGGTCGCCTACCGCGAACATCTAATGTTGTCATAATTGTCGGAGGAGGTAAAGGGTTTTCTTTACGCCAGTTGATTGATTGGGAAAACCAAATGGCCCCATTCGCTCCCGAACAAATCGCTGCATCTGTTTTACCACCAATATCTAGCTCGTACATTACCCATCTATCTCCATACCCAGCATCTCAAGAAATCAATAAATCCACAGCAACGATCCACAACACATCAATGTCAGACCATATGGCAAGAAAAGGAAGTACACCGACACCGAGTACACCGCGCTCTGTGTGTACTAAAGTTAGCAGGGTACCGATCTCTAGACCTGATTCTGATCAACAAGCGTCAGATTGCAATGGTGGAGAAATCGAAGCAGGCTCAGAATGCGTCAGCACGTTGAATTCACACGACTTGGTGAATTTTTCCAAGCTTTTAGCTTCCTCTGAAGCTAAAGGTGTGGAGATAAGTCTTCGCGAATCATAGTCTATAGATTAATCAACGTTGATTATGTTTTATTTTTAATTCTATATTTTTTGATAAAAACAGTTATAAATGGTTTTACAGTTTTATTTAAGCTTAGGTTATCATAGACATAATTTATTTTGGCTGTTTAGTCAGTCAATCTGTTCTTTCGTTCGGAATATTTTAGCGGTCCTAACAACCGCATATAATCATTATTATTGATTTAACTCATAATTTGTTTATTAGATTTCATATTTTCTCTGTGTGGAATCCCACAACGCTGATATCTTAGTTTACTTATTTTATTTTATCAGTCTGTTAGTTAGATATTTGTTTTATTTATCTCTATTAGTTTCGAGTTGGTATGTTATCTAGTTTCCTTTTTTTAATTTGAAGTAATCTCTTTAACAGTACTTTGTTACTACTATTGAGTCATAAACACCATCATAATTTCATCTTTTGCTAAAGTTGTTATCCCAGGATATTGAATATGTATGTTGTGCCTTACACAGGTGTGTATCATTCTGTACTGTTAGACTATTAGTCTGCATTTATGCAGTTTGATTTGATTTTCATTTTTATTTCTTATCCCAAAAAATACTTTTCCATCATGACGGAATGACGTGTCAGTTGTTGGTTGTAATATTTTCTATCCGGTATGAATTCAATTGCAAACCTGAACATTACTGATTTCAATTTCATATTGACTTACGTATTTGCCTACCTCACTTGATTTCATGTGTTTTCACCAACTAATCTTGTTCTTTTAACTGAATATTATTTTTCTGTGGTTGAAGCATCAATACTCTCAATCCAGTCATTCCATATGTGCTTCTGCCAGTTTATTTTGCAAACTGATTCAAGTTGATTTGTGTGTAACACTCCTCGGTAGGATGTACACAGTCGCATTTGTTTTGTTTTTATAACTGTTTTCTTATGTTACTTATCATTATGATACCGTATAATTATGTAGCACTTGTGCCTTTCTTTTTTATATTTATTGTTTGTTTTCATTATTATTTTCACGCAAGCAAGCAGTATTACTTTCTAATCTGATATGATACCAGATTTTTGAATTTATTTATTATGTTGAATTTTTTCTCATATTTCAATTTGACAATTATGAATGTTTTATTTTGTTTGTTGTTTTTTCTTTTGTAGTCTGTTCTAATTGCCATTTATTTAAAATGATTGCTTTACATTGTTTTCTTATTTTCATTGCATAAATTTGTGTGTTGCAGTTATCGTCTTTGTCCTTTTGTTTGTCAGAAGGTGTAGCAATGGGATCACCAATATCCCCTATTGTAGCAGAGACATATTTATGGACAGCTGGGAAAGTAGTGCTCTGAATACGTTTAACCCTACTCCAAAAATATGGTGGAGATATGTGGATGACACTTTCACGGTGTTAAAAACAGAACATATCTCTAGCTTCCTGACACATAAACTCACAAGTAGAGGGAATAAAATTCACGTTTGAATCAGAAAATGAACTAGGAGAATTAGCTGTTAGATTGTAAAATAAAACGAATAGAAGAAGGCAAACTACATACTAGTGTTTATAGAAAACCAACGCATTCTAATAGATATTTAGACTTTAATTCGTCTCATCCGTTAACTGTCGAGGCAGTTTAGTGAAGTGTCTAACAAACCGAGCCATATCACTAAGTAGCACAAAAAAGACCTAAATGACGAAATAAAACAGATAGAAGCGTTAGTGTTGAATAACTATCCTATAAAATTCATTAGGAAGATCAGTAAAGACCAAAAGCAAAATAAAAATAATGGTGAAACTATTAATGATAACACAAATAAATCTAACATTTACGGAGCAGTCACATTACGATGCAAAGGAGATGTAATTGTTAAAAAAGTCCAAGTGATCTTTATTACAAGAGATGATAAGATACTCTAAGCCTCGATTCACTATAAATGTACAGCAAATGCAGTCTGGTTATCATCACAAATAATAATGGTGAACAGAAATAATAGGTGTTGGTCTTTACACACATAATTTAAAATATCCCCACTGTAAAATATCCATCTTATTTAGGGACTTTGCGTTACAGATCTTTTGATAGTACACATCTATGATTTCAAGGTGGGCAACTATGCGTGGTACCGAAGATTGTCGCATGACGTTCGTACGAGAATATGTATTGTATTCAGTATATTCATTACCGTATGAAATGTATCTCTATGGGAATATTGCATGTTTTCTAACTTCCAAAAGACCTCGAAGCTTTCCTTATCATAAGCTTACCGGTGGTCAACAAACATCACATTCTTTGACCTGAAAGCGACATTCTATTCTGTTGACCGAGAGGTACTATGTAATGTTTGGCTATGAAGTGAATGCCTAAGAAATAGATTGCATCCGATCAAGGCATTCTACTCGTACAGCCAGGTAAGAGCCTACGGGGAGTTATTTTCTGCAGGGATGGCAACTAGTGGTGTCTATCAGGGTTGCCTACTATCCCCGTTTCTATTTAATTCCTTCATAGGTGTACTGTAGCGACTTAGGGCTTGACTTGTTACCAGGAAACAGTCTTCACTTATTGTAATCGGACGCTATTATCCTCCTCGGTGAAGGCGCTTACAAAATACACAGTCTTACGAATACTCTGAGAAGGAATCTTGGAATATTCGGTATGCGAATCGTTCCTGTCAAGTGTAAGGTGATGCAGGGTGAAATGGTAGTGTTATTAAAAAGACAATTGCAGCGAAGAAAATTTTCTTTTCGACGAAGTCGTCATCTAGGCTGTACATTCGTGTGTTTATATCAAATGGATGGGAAAGTTCCAGAATAATTTCCGGTTAAGGGTCAAATTAATAAAAATTACAATTAGGAATTAGAATGCCATAATAAACAGGGGGACGGATAAAACTCAAACAAAGTAGCATCATAATAACTACGAAGATTGACATTGTGCAATCGGGGGTTAGAAATGTAGAAATAGTAAAATGACAAAATAAACACGAAGTTCGGATATGAAAATATGGTAGTGTAAACAGGGATTAAGAAACTTAAAATAACATGAATAAACAGAAAGTTTAGATAAGAAAGGGGATGGGATGGTCATTACTTAAAAGGACTTACCTGTTTATAATGACCACGTCAGGGACAGGAGTTGGACGTATTTCTTTTGGATAGCTGGCGCCTCAGCTATGCCCAGATGTCTTGATTTCACTCCCGTTGATAGGTTGGATTGAATCTTGTGTATTACTTTGAAGGATTTTTCGAAAGACTCTGAATTGACCAGATGTTCTGTCACTGAACTGTATACACGTTTTTGGTCTCGTTTTGCTAGCCAGGCTGGTTAGTGTTCACGAGCGCGTTTTTCAAGACGGCACATGGTACGGCCGATGTACTCAGCTCCATAAGAGCAAGTAAACTGGTATATGCACGTTGAAGTGCCTCAATGCGACAGCTTGTCTTTCGCTTTCTGGCTGAACAGTTTCTTACAGAAAAACGTGAGTCGTAGGCTCGTGGCGAAGTATGTGTGTTTACGTGATATCCGGTCACTATCGAAGCACTCACTTTGAATGTTTGGCACGTGATTCGCTCCTGTCAAATGTTATATGATGCTACAGGACTGGACTACATCGACTTCTAGCTTAAAAATAGGGAGTGAAGTGGTTAGGCGTGTTGGCCACGCCAACGCCAGTGGGTTGATCACTGATGAGATCTCAGCACGGGTACAGAGGGCTCATTTGGCATTTGTCAACTTACGCCATCTCTGGCGTAGGCATGATATACGGCTCTTTATCAAAGGACGTCCGTACTTCTCCGCATTCCACCCCGTCCTCCTTTATGGCAGTAAGACGACCATTGGAAGTAGAAGACATGAAAAGGCTAGGTGCCTGTGTTAGGTGGCATAACAGGGTAAGTAACATTGAGTTTATGCGTCGGGTGCTAGGTACGGAGGGGAAATCAGTTGACGAGGTTGTGAAGTTAAGTTGGCTGAGATGTTATACCTAGTTGTCATCTTCATTGAGCAATTGTGGTCGGCAGAGGATCAAGTCGGGGAAGAGTTGGAAATAGGCAAATCAAACCTGGCGTTAGTTGTATTAATAATGCCTTGATAAAGCTATTAGCATTAAATAGTGAAACGTCAGTAAAAACAATATCGTTTTGTTTTTCATTCATTGGGAAATACAAAAACCTTTATTATATTGAACTGGCGTTAGTTGATTGAATATTCGACTGCTGGTTTTAGTCACGTGGGAGTGTGTGCGGACTGAGGTTACTAAATCTGTCACTAATCTGAAACAAGTCAAAGCAGCAGGACCTGATGGAATGACTCCAGAGATATTTAAGTACGGTGGAGATAGTTTACTGTCTTCATTAACTGAAGTACTAGGCGACGTCTGGGAATCAGAGGAAGTCCCGTCGGGTTGGTGTAAGTCACTGATTATCCTCGTATACAGAAAGGGAGACAAGTCTTCCTGTGATAATCACAGAGGGATTAGCTTGACTAATATAGTATTTAAAGTCCTAGGTTCAGTAATATTGCGTAGACTAAGTGGTGCTCGGGAGGCACAAACACGAGAGAGCCAGGCAGGTTTTAGACCAGGAAGAGGGTGTATTGATCATATCTTCACCCTCCGACAGATTCTAGAACAGGAATTCCTACTGGCGTCCAACAATCATTATATTTCTTGATCTGAAGGCGGAATTCCATTCTGTCGACCGATAGGTTCTCTGGCGATGCTTGGCTGTGAAGGGGATGCCGAGAAAATAGACTGCACTGATTAAGGCACTCTACTCGTACTCATGCAGTCAGCCAGGTGAGGGCTTACGGCGAGTTGTCATCTGAATTGGTGACAACTAGTGGTGTGCGTCAGGGATACCCATTATCTCCATTTCTATTCAACTTCATCATAGATGTACTAATGGACTTAACCCTAAGTGACTTCAGCGACTCGGATTGACTTGCTACCAGGGAATAATCTCATTGACTGAGAGTGTGCAGACGATATGGTCCTTCTAGGCGAGGACGCTGACAGAATACAGCAGAGTCTTCTGAACACCTTGAGCTGCAATCTAAGAATGTTTGGTATGCGATTCGCTTCCGCCAAATGCAAGGTGATGTTACAGGACTGGACCACACTGACTCCTAGTTTAGAAATAGGAAGTGAAGTGGTAGAGCGTGTTGACCGCTTCACTTATTTGGGAAGTACCATCAGCCAGTGCCAACGGGTTGATCTCTGATGAAATCTCAGCTGAGTACGGATAGAGAGGGCTAGTTTCGCACATGCCATTTTACGCCGTCTCTGGCGTAGACGTGATATTCGGTTGGCTGTCGACCAAAGGGCGGGTGTACTGCTCATCAGTCCGCACCATCCTCCTTTATAGCCAGCTGTGAGACCTGGCCACTGAGAGTGGAAGACATGAAAAGATTAGCTGTCTTTGATCATAGGTGCCTGCGTTCTATTTCCCGTGGGAATTGGCATAATAAGGTGAGCAATATTGAGGTTAGGCGTGAGTCGAGTGCTACGTAAGGAGGGGAAATCAATCGACGAGGCTGTGAGATTACATCGACTGAGATGGTTAGGACATGTGCTACGTATGCCTAGTCATCGCCTTCCTCGACTGACGGGCAATGCCAGCTGACATAGGGGCAGTCTGGAAAAGAGCTAGCGGTGGTCAAACCAAAACATGGCACCAGTTAACTGAAATGTACAACAGTTAGTTTGAGCCACGTGGGAAGGTGCAGACTTCCTGGCTGGTTGGGGTCCTCGGGACGGTAAAAACCAATGCAGGCTGGAAACAATTGGTGATATGACTCAAACTCATCATTCTCAATGGCTAGCGCAGATGCATCCACTCCTTGTGACTTGTGATTTCCAATGAGACTGTTTTGTTCTTCGTTAATACTATTCCTTTGTCTCACACCTCTGTTTACTGTCTCTAATATGCATTTCTTCTCTTGCTTTGTGTGCTACGTGGAGGGAGTGTGGCGACTTGAACTTCCTTACATATGTGCAGAGTTCTATGTCGAAAACAGACAGACAGACAGTGTGCGGACTCTGACTGATGTGCTCGAAATTCTGAGGACCAGTAGCTGGTTGAATGACTCAGGACGGTCTTCAATGGTCTATATTGACTTCCAGATTCATTAGGTTCTAATTATTGTCCCTGTCATTACTTTTCCTCTCACACATTTCGATTCCTGTGCGTTTTTTTCTTTTGTTTCGTCTATTTTTGTGTTTATTCATGTGAAATTTGACAACTCCACTG